CAGCCTCTGTGACATGCAGGATGGCGGTGCGGTGCACCCCGGCCTGGGCCGCTCCCCCTCTTCGTGACACTACCCCGCTCTAGTGGCACAGGGTTTGCACACGGTGTGCTGGATTTCTGCTGCGCCTGCCCCGTGCTTTGGCTGGGTGTCTCTGTAGGGAAGGAGGGCACTGGTCCTCGCCACCCAGTATTTATAGCAGCTGGTGCCTCCTGTGTGGGTCCCTTCTGTGCTGCGGTTCCTTGGGGGAAGTGAACTGTGGGTCTCCTACGCAAACCACACTGCCCGTCTTCAGTCATTAGCAGGAGACAGCGAGGCCGCAGTACCAGGAGGACCTCCGGCAGGGTCCGGCGGCTGGGAAGTGGCATTTCATTCTGGAAAGCACTGAAGACCAGACGCAGACCTGCTCATTCCGGAAAGCTGTCTTCTGCGGGCGGGGAGCCAGGCCTGGGCTGGGGCTGTGCTGTGAGGTCCCCGCCTGCTCGTGCCCCTCCCAGCCCTCAGCTCTGCCCTCCGTAGTGTCGTGTTGGGACACATTTCCTGGGGAGAAGAGTGACCCTCATTATCCCTGCTCCTCTTTACAGGCAGTGGAGAATTACAACCTAACAGGGTCAGTGAGAGTGCCTGCTAGTTGTCTTTCTTAGTACGCATTTTTAACTATCGGTCAGGCTTTGCAAAACCCCTGTAAATGGTGTTTGATATCAGAGAGAGGAATCAGAATTTTAAAGTAAATTTTAATTCTTAGAGCAGTATAATCCTTTTCAAAGTTTTGAACTGGATAGTTTCCATTCTCCAGTATCTAGCTGGAATGAGAATTTCACAGAGTAGCACTTGTCTTTAGTATCGGTGGTGACCAGCGTATTTTCATTCTGTTAAGAAATGTTGCTTTTCTGGGGCAATTCGATATTCATAGACACCCACAAAAGGTGAACATTGGCCTAAGCTTCATGTATTACACAAAAATTAACTCCAAGTGAGCCACAGACTTAGATGTGAAACATAGAACTGTACAGCTTTAAAATACAAGCGTAGAAGCTCTTATTTAGGGCTAGGTACAGAAGTCTTCCTTAGATTCTTACCTGGAAGCTGAGTCAACAAAGGAAAGCCTGGTTCATCAGACTTCTTCACATTTAGGAACTTCCGGTGTGCTAAAGACCATAAGAGGATGCAGAGGTGAGCTGCAGTTTGGGGGGAAATATTTGCAAATCACATATCTAATGAAGCCTACAGTATATAAAGAGCTCCCCAAATCCAACAGTGAAACACGGTGCAGTGAGAAAGTGGGTAAAATACACGAGGAGGACCTCACCGCAGATGGGGCGCTGAGGACCGACGGCCCACGAAAGATGCTAATGTCCTTGGCCATCAGAAAATGCAGAGGCCCCAGTGAGACACCACCGCACACCGACCAGAATGGCCTGACGCAGGCTGGATGCAGGCGTGAGGGCAGCACAGCTGCTCTGGAAGACGGTGCGGCAGTTTCTAAAAACAAGACAGGCGGTCAGCCTGTGACCCAGAGTCGTGGTGTAGAGATGAGGTGTCCCCGAGACACCTGCACTAGGGCTCCGTCCCCAAGGCAGCCGGTTCAGAGGCGACGGTCCGGAGGCTGCAGGTCTCTGTGCCGAGCCTTTGGAGGCCCCGTCTTTCTCCATCTTCCCCAGTCTGTGTCGGCCTTGGCCCAGGCCTGCTGGAGCCAGCTGTGTGGATGGAGACCTCAGAAGCCACAAGCCCCGCAAATCTCTCCTCCCCTGAGTTGTTACCTCTCCAAGGCAAAAAGCTGACCAGTGCACCCAGAAGTTACCCTCGAGGGCATTTGTCCCACAGAACTGAAGACGCAGTCACCAGGGCCTGCACACGGATGCAGTGGTGTTCTGCGTGGGAGCCCAAACTGGAAGCATCCCACGCCCCTCGGGTGAGTGGGGGATGCCACCGTGGCCGTTTGAGCCGTGGGTGCAGCTCGGTCAGCCACTCTGCTGTCTCCCAAGCTAGAAGCGCCCTGCTCAGCCCCTTTTCCCTCCTGTGCCCGCTGCAGGGACTGCACTGGGCTTTTCTTCTGGGGGTGCTGCTGCGCCTTCCCGCTGTGCCAGCCTAGGCATCGCGGCGCCAGGCTGCCTGTGAATGGTCTGGGCACCACGTACCTGCCCCTCTGTGGGGCCAGAGGATGCCGCCCGCTCCTCACGGTCCTCACTGCGTGGGAATGAGCCTTCCAAACATGGATGGGCTGACCTCAAAGTCCCATTCAGTGGTCCAGATAAGCAGGGCTCGGCCAGAAGGGGTCTCCCTCGTCATCAGGAGGCCCCGGGACACGGAGGGGAACTCAGCGTCTGTGTTGGGAGGTCAGGGGACAGCCCCTGAGGGGACCAGGCAGCCTTGGGCGAAAGCATTGGTTCTGGGATCAGAAGGCCTCCTGTCTGTCCTAATACAGAGGCTTCATTTCTTTGAATTTGGTGTCATTTTCTCTCTCTGACAATAATGAAGCTATTGAAACTTAGGCGGTGTACTGCAGTCACCAGGAAGAAGGCGCAGCAGGGCACACGTGTGTGTGTGTGTGTGTGTGTGTATGTGTGTGTGAGCAGGGCGGGGGCAGAGCGGTGGGGGTTTCGCGTTTTAGCCACTGCTGTGTGGCCTCTTAGGAAGGGTGCTGGCAGAACTGCCTGTGACTGCCCACGGGACTGTGCCCTGGGTCGCTTTGGTCCCCTTCAGGACAGCTGGGCCACGTTAACCCAGGGCTTTTATGGCTTCTGAGCCCTCCAAAGAGCCAGTGGCAGAACTGCCAGGCCTCGAGAGCTCTTCAGAGACAGCAGGTCAGCCAAGAGACCAACGGAGCCAGGAAGGAAACCCCCTCTGTCCGCGCTGGCCTCCATGGCTGCTCAAGTCCTGTGTTGGGCTGGGGCTCCACACCCCCTGGCCACACTCCAAGCGCTCCTCTCAAGTCTCCTGGGCCTCTGGACACAGTCAGGGACCCCAGAGGGCTCCAGGGAGATCCACTTTAGAGAGTGCAACTGGCCTGGGAACCCGGCAGGTCTGCAGCTACCCAGGGCTCGAGTGTTGTTTATCTACCCTGTGCCTATGTGGTACTTGAGCTGCTGTGACCAGCATGGGGTGGGTGTTCTGATGCTTTCACATTTGGTTATTTGGTAATGGGAAGAGCAGCTGGGATTAGTGGCAGAGACCTGTAATAGCAGCTACTTGGGAGGCTAAAGCAGGACGATCCCAAGTTTGTGCCCGGCCTGAGCAATTTAGCGAGACCCTGTCTCAAAATAAAAACTTTACGAGTAGATGGGGACATAGCTCAGTGCAAAGATCCTGGGACCCCAGTCCTGCATTAAAAAAAAAGTGAGGGGTACAGAGAAACAGCCAGGCAGGGTGGCACCCACTTGTGATCCCAGTTGTTTAAGCGGCTGAGGCAGGAGGATCTGAGTTCCTTTTATGTTGTGCTCTTGAGCTTGGAGGGACGCGGGTGTTCGCGTGCCCTGCCTCACTTATCTGCCCTCACTGGACATAGTTGGGAGGATCAGCCAGGGCCAGAGTTCCCAGCCTGCGGCCGGGCACGGCTGCTGCCTGCTCTGTGTCTCTCGTTTCATCTTGTAGGATGGAGAGCCACAGTGAGGTGTGCTTTGGGATTGGGGTGGGGCGCGCTCTGTGTATGGCCAACAGTCAGGTCAGGTGCACATTTCTCTCATTCAGAATTCTCCTGGTTTGGGAACTACAGAAAGTTGTTTGTCTGGAAACCCACAGCAGAATATTTCCTTCCCTGGGGGTTTATTTGGTTTGGACTGGAGCAAGTCGGATTTCTTTATCCTGGTAGCAGAGAGCACTCTGAACCCTTGGAGGACTCAGGACTCCAGTGCAGATTTGTGGCTCTGAGCTGCAGGGCGTCAGCCCCCAGACAGGCTTGCAGCCCTCTGTCTGGAAAAGGTGCTCGGAATACTCAGACCTCAGGCGGCTGCAGGAGCGGAGCTGGCGGCTATCGGTATCCGGCGGCTGTGCTGCACCGGGGAGGCCGGGAACTGCTGGCCTCGGGGAACTGGATGCCCAGCAAATGCAGTGCCCCAGCCTCACTGTGGAAGAGCTGTGGGCGCCTGGGGGTGGCGGAAAAGCTGTTACCCGAGCAGACTCAGAGAGGTGGAAATGCCGCATCCCGCCACCTCTGCCGCCCAGGGGATACTCCGTTCCTCCTGCTCCGCCTCTCCTAGGAGCAGTGTGCTGACGGGGCAGACCCAGGCAGGGAGTTTGCAGGAGGCGCTCTCCAGGTGTTTGGGCTGCGCTGTGCGGGGCAGCTCAGAGGCGCTGCTCCCCGCAAGCAGTGCAGAGCCGGACCTCCAGTGTTTTGCTAGGTAGCTGTGTTTTAAAGCTTGCCAGCACCTGACTCTCTTCATCCTAAAATGGGACAACCGGGGCCGTCACCTGCCCCGGGATTGTTCTGAGATCTCTAAACACAAACTACAGGGAAGCACTTTGCTTAAGGCCTGGCGCCTAGAGGTGCTCAGTAAATTTGCTGTTGCTTCATCGTCGCCACCATCACCGCCATCATCGTTGTTTTTAACGTAAGTATTCGGGACTGATAAGTTGGCCAAAGGTAATGAATGCATCCTTGGCCCTTGAACCAAGGATTTCTTTGGTTTTAACCGGGAGGGTGAATTTACCCGCTAAATTTCGACCTCTGGAACCTTCCACTTCACATGAGTGCGGCCAGTGATTCCCACTCCAGCGGGCTTCACCTCCGAGCTGGGTCAGCCCCGGGGGCTTTGTTCTTCCTTCGGCTTCCCTGCCCGAGCCGAGCATGGCGGGGTGTCCGCAGGGTGACTTCTGACTCTCACCGAGGGGGCTGTTTCTCCGGGAGCTTCTGGGCGCCCCGGGGGAACCCTCTGCCTGGGCCACAGCATCACACAGCCCTGTGGGCGCGCGGGCCTCCCTTGGCGGCCGTGCTCTTGGCCTGCTCTCTCCTCCCTCTGCTCACACTTCTTTCTTCTTCCTTTCCTCTAGGTTGTGGCTTCTTTTGGAGCAAGGACAGTTGACCTGGTCACTCCTGGCTCCCCAGCTTTAGCAGTGCCAGGCCCACGTTAGGTGCTCTCTGAGCATTCGGCCATGACAGCTGGCAGAACACAGGAGAGGCCCATGAGCTGCTTTGACCTCTGGTGTGACATGTTCAGGGTTAAGCACAGAGAGTTCAGTGTCACCGTGCGACACGCGACCGCGTCTGACCCGTGCTGTGGGAACCCACAGGGCCTGCTCCCGTGCAGTGCTAGAAGCCTCTGTTGCATGGCTGTGTGACTTCGCTCCAGGTGAATTCCAGCCCGCCCGAGAAGGTGCAGTACTCCCTGCCATGTGCTTTCTCTCTCCGAGGACCAACTGAGGCTCCAAGCGAGGAGCACAGCAAGCGTCCAGGAGCTGAGTGAGGTTGCCCAAATGCTCCAGCTGCCTGTGGGGTTCCTCTTGCTGGGAGGCGAGGCAGCGCTCTGGTCTTACATTGTCATGAATGCTAATCATGGCTCCTTGCGTTTGTATTTTGCACATAATTCACAAGGAATTCTAAAATCCATGGCCTCATCTTACCCCTTTTGTGACTGGCAGGATGGTCTTCTTCCTAGCTTCTGTTTTCTAGTTGATTTTCTTGTGGCTCCAAGTACACCCTGACCCCGTCCTGCAGAGCTGGGTGTCCCGGTTCTTGGGCTCTTGCTTGCTGCAGGCTGCCCCTGCTGTCCCTTCCTGTAAGCTCAGTGCCCTGTGCAGCCCTGTTCCGCCTCCTTCCTCCTGGTGCACAGCCTTCTGAACAAGTCAGAGCTGTCAGTGGGGTCAGCGGCGATTCACTGTCTGAGAGGGGCCCTGCCATGGTCACCATGTGGCCACCGCAGCGCCCGGCCTGGTGTCTGGGCCATGGTACGCATGTCATCAGTGCACATTGCTCTACGAGGCCACCAGTGGCATTCAACCTGGAAAACGACAACTGAATTAATTGAATTCTTATTTAAAACATTTGAAAAGGAATCTCTTTATGAAAGCTGATCTGCTTCTCCACTGGAGTTACATTTCAGCCTAGAAAAGCAGCTGTGTGCCCAGAGGCCTTGGGCTTTCCGTCAGGGACAGATGAATTTAATTTGTCACTGTATGACTGTTTTCTCCGTCTGTGGTTTTATTAGACCTGCTCCTGAATGGAACAGATTTTTCTATAAAAGCCACACTTCCTTCTGAGAAGTGTGACACTAATTTTATGAGACTATCTCGACAAGATTACCTGCCAGCAGCCGACAGCCCGGCTTGTGCCTGGGGTTCTCACCCTTGCAGCCCAGGGAGAGAGATGTCTGTGCAGGATCCCTGGCTGCTGTTAGGGCTCAGAGCCGGCATTTCTGCAGCTTCCAGGAGGGTGGGCGCGTGCGGGTGACTTGGAGGACACCGCAGTGACAGCCGTGGGTCAGCCTGGCCCCTGCTTGCTCCCTACACCGGGCTCTCTGCCTGTGGACAGGCTACGCAGGCCACCGAACGCCCTTGCTTTTCTTTCACCACGGTCCGCGAGACAGCGTGTGAAAGTGCTTTTTACTTTTACATTTGGGAAAATTTCCAACCCACTTTTTTTCCTCTCCCAGCACTGGGGACGATTCCCAGGGCCTCGTGCCTGCCAGGCAGGCGCTCTGTCCCTCGCCACTTCCCCAGCCCTGCTTGTGTTTCTGTCACTGTTAATCAGCTGTGTGCCATGAAATGGCACCTGCCCTGTGAGCTTTGAGTGCGTGCAGAGAAGTGTAACCCTGCTGTTGTGATCCTCCCTTTACGGATAAGGAAACTGAGGCACAGAAGAGTTAAGCACCTTGCCCAAGGTCACAGGAGTCTTTTTTTCAAAAAATAAGTTTTTGATTGACACATCATAGCTGCACATATCTATGGGGTCTTGAAGTGTAGCATTTCCATCTAAAAGGGTACTTTGATTTAGTGTAACTTTTACATGATTTATATGTTTTTTGGCCTGGTAGGCTGTTAATCTGTGTTTATGATCATTAACTTGATAAGGACTTATAAAACAAATGAATCTTGATACTGGCAAAAAAATGTTTTAAAAAGTGGGGAGAGGGGAAGGGAAGAAAAAAGAATCAAAATGTGTCCTATACACGTACCAGTTCTCACAATAATGTGATCATCATGTACTGCAAACATGTACTGGTAAAAATTTAAACATCTTAAAAACTTGTGACATTTTATTTAGGTTTTTTTTTTTTTTTTTTTTTTTTTTTTTTTTTT